ACCCCTCCTGCCCTGAAGCCATCTGTGGCTCCCTAGTGTCCCCAGAGAGGCTGTTCGGGGAGACTGGCCAAAAGCAAGGACTCTGTAGCCAGGATAGCTGGGTTTATATCCTGGCTCAACCATTTAGAAATTGAGTGACCATCGGGCAGGTCCCTCCACCTTGCTGCACCTCCCTCTCTCCATCTATAAAATGGAGTCATGATGGTGCCTCCAGCACCAAGCTATTGGCACAGCCGATGAGTTGCTATGTGGAAAGTGTTTAGCACAGTGCCAGCTGTTACTATTTGTAAGAAGTATTACGAATATTGATGATAGAGGCAGTCCATCCCTTTGGTCTGGCCCAGGCTGTGGTGTCCCCGATCCACCCGGCCAACATGCACAGCCCCCGTCTGGCTCTTCCTGGCGAGGCCCTGAGAACAGCTGTCCCCATCACTACGACGTCGGCCTTCTGCCGTCTGCTTCTCCAGAGTTAGATCATCTTATGCAGCTCAGCTCCACAGACACCCGCTTCCCAAAGTCTCCCCAGACACCCCGGCCAACTGGGCCACCCAACTTTGCCTCCTGTATCCGTGTCTACCCCTATGCTTCTCAGACAAGCATGGAGGCCTTGTGGAGAGGCACATTCAGGCCCAAGAAGTCTCGGGTGGGCCTGAGGTGCAGCATTTCCATCAGGCTCCCGGATGCTGACATAGCTCGTCATGAGACGGAATCTTAAGGATCACTACTTCTAAGGCGACCATTTTGGGAATTAAATCCCAATCCATTTTCGATTTTTGATTGTTTCTTATATGGTAGTCCCCTCTCTCCAGCCAAACTCTGAGGCGGAGGGCCACGTCTGCCTCCGTCCCATCACCAGATCTAGGCATCCTGACTTAATAGGTGTGGGTTGGAGTGAACGGGCTAAGCCAGCAGGCTGGGAAAGAGACTCGGCCCATGCACCATGGCCTCCACCGCTGAGGGCTTGGTGCTCCTTCCGCTCCGTTAGGAGGTCCCAGGTACACATGCAGTCAGCACTCTACTCGTGTGACAGTGGGGACTGTCACATCATGCCAATGGAATAAGAATAGCTAATGCTTACAAAGACCTGGCCAGGCCCCAGGCGAGGGCCCCTTCTAAGGGCTTTATACATGGGTTGACTCACTTAATCATCATCACAACCCTATGAGGTTGGCACTACTCTATCCCCACTTGACAGGTGGGGAAACTGAGGCACAGAGCGGCTAAGGGTCACACAGCTAGCACATGACAGAGGCAGGACTCACACCCAGGCACCCTGGCTCTCAGCATGTGCTCTTACTTAACCCCAGGCTACACTGACTGTCTCCAGCCTTAGCACAGGCCTGGCACATAGTAAGTGCTCATGAAATGTGAGCATCCCTTAGGTGTGAGTCATGGCTTGTCCAGGCACACAATTGCATGTGGTAAACCATCAGGCCTGTGGCCACTCTGGGTGGCTGGTGAGTCTTTCTGTGGGGGCTACTCTGGGCGGGGGCGGGGGGGGACCCTAGGGGTCCCAAGCAGAAGGGCCGCCCCCTCTCCACTCATCATCTCTTTTTGCATCCACTGTCTCTGAGCTTAGTCACATGGCTCCTGGTGGTTCAGGGACTTTGTGGCCCTGGACCTGCGGCCACCTGCTGGGAACACCAGCCAATCCTGGGGCTGTCCCCTGGGGACAAGAGGCCCCCTTTCATCTAGTGGTCACTGCCCCAGCATGTGGGCTCTGCAGGTGCCCCTCCCCCGAGCAGCCTCAGGCTGGTCCACAGCCAGCTCCCTGCCATTCATCAGATTAAAGGACCTTTGCAGTGAAAGTGGCATCTCCTGGAGAGCAGGCCTGGGCCAAGCTCCAGGCCTCCGCCCCACCCCCAACCCAGCTGATGGCTCTGTCCCTGGACAGAGACCCTTCCCCTGTGCAGGACCCAGGTCCCTCTGCTGGTTCCCCTTGCCCCACTTGCTCATTCGTTTGACACACATCCATCACACACATACTATGTGCCACAGTGAGGTCTCTGGTCTCTTTGCTGTCACCAGAGTTATTCTGCTTGGGACACCCATTACTTTCTCACCTTTTGAGATGGTCCTAGGATGAATCGTTTCACTCCAGGTGGCGCCATCTCCCAGGGCCCAGTTTAGGGTGCCCAACCACAGGCTGAGCATTGCTATGTGCTGGGCACTGCAGCATGCAATTTATAATGCAATCCATTGTCCCCTCCACCGTCCGAAGCCCTTGAAAGGCAGGCCTCTGATGCCCCCGCCCTTCACCTGTAGAGAGTGAAGCTCAGAGAGGTAGAGTTGACCTGTCCCAGGTCACAAAGATAGTAAGAGGCCAAACCAGGGCTTCTCATTCTAGACTCCGGGGCTTCCATGGTCCCATCACACCACATCTGTCTGTGTTGGTTGCATGTGACTGTCATATTCTATGGTGATTCTCTATGGCTCCTCAGATGTCTCCAGTCCCTGTAGGCAGCAGTGCTCCCTGTCACCCACCCTGACCTTGGGGTCCTGGATATCCAGCCCTTGGAAAAACTGACCTTGACATTCAACCTGTGGTTAGCTGAATAATGGCCCCCAAAGATGTCCATGCCCTAATCCCTAGAACCTGTGAATTTGTGACCTTAGATGGCAAAGGGGACTTTACAAATAGATTAAGTGAAGGATCTTGAGATGGGGAGATTGTCTTGGACTACCTGGGTGCCCCCAATGTAATCACAAGGTCCTTAGAAGAAGGAGGCAGGAGAGTCAGGACCAGAGAGAGAGATTTGAAGTTGGTAAGCTGCTGGCTTTCAAGATGGAAGAAGGGGCTATAATCCGAGGAATGTGGGCGACCCCCAGAAGCTGGAAAAAGTAAGGATATGGATTCTCCTCTGGACCCTACAGAAGGAATGCAGCCCTGCTAACAACACCTTGATTTTAGCCCAGTGAGACCCACGTCAGACTTCTGAGCTGCAGAATAAATCTGTGATGTTTTAAGCCACCACGTTTGTGGTCATTTATTGTATTACAGCAGCCATAGGAAACTCATACAACAGCCTGGCTACCCCCTCTTGTTGTCCGGGTCCTAGCCACACCTCCCCTCCCTTCCTCACCCCCACCATGCCCAGAACCGAGGCCTAAAGGAGGTCTCGGTTGTCCTCAGCCCCGGCAGGGCCTCACCCACCTCTGGGCTTTTGCGTGCCCTCACCGTCTGGTCCTGCTTACTTTTTTCCCCTGCCTGCCATTGTTAGTCACCTTATCACACCTCTACATCTCACCTCACATCTAATTGGAATTTCCTCAAAGACAGGAAACCTGATTTAGGCGTCTTTGTCTCTCCCAGAGCACCCTGCACAGGGTGGGCTCAGGTGGAGTGCACTTGGCTTTCCTGCCCTACCCTTCAGGCCCTGGGGGGTCTGCATTTGCTGCCCTCCAGGCGGGCAGGCCATGTCAGCCTCTTGGCAGAGCCTTTGTCCCAGCGGCTCCTGGAGTGCTTGTCCTCTCTCAATACAAAGCTATGCCTTGTTCTCAGGGGTCAGTGTGGTGTAAATGACAACGTCACTTCTTCTGAGAGGTGCTCCCTGATTGCCCATTGGAGGTCCCCTGTGTGGCACATCTGCAACTAGAAATCATTTCATTTATTGTTTAGCCTTTTTTTTCCCCCCTAGTCTTTCTGAGGGCAGCACTGTGCCTACACTGAGGAGGGGGACCCACAGAGCCCTCAAAGAAGGTGAAGACAGATGTCCCTGCTTCCAGCCCAGTCCCAGCTGAGTGACCTCAGCCTTGACCCTTCCCAGAGGTTGAGTGTTCCATCTGTAATGTGGCAGTGACAGTACCTGCCTCCTACGATGGTGAGGGTCAAATACAACTCCCAGTGTGGTGGCCTGGCACAGGCCCACACACAGTAGGTGCTCAGTTAATAGCCGCTCTCATTTTCCTTGACTATCTGATGGCCACTAAGGTGAACCCTGGTCCACAGGCCAGGGAGGTGGTGGATTTCCTGGCGCTGGAAAGCATAGCCCACAGACACCCCATCCTCCAGCTGGACTGAGGGTGAGGGGAGACACCCCCCACAGAGGTGAACACCACAGGTCACCTCTGGGGGGGAGGGACACTTTCCAGGTAAGGTTATGGCGCCCAGAGGGGGCACGCCCCTCGCTGAGGGTCACGCAGCCAGACTTCCAACCCGATTTGTTTGGTTTCCCCCACGTTTTCCTGTGGTCCACAGGAAACTGAGCAGGGCTCAGAGGCATTTTAAAGGTAGATGGAAGCATCCCAGTCTGTCTGTGGCTCTGCAGTAACGAGAATCCAACCAGCAGCTCATGCCAAAGGCTCCCTGGTGGGCAGAGCAAAGGGACAGGGTGTTCCAGGTGATGAGATTGAGGGACAAAAGAGGGTTGGGAGGTTCAGAGGACTTTCCTCCAGTCATCCCAGGGCAGAAATCGGTCCCTGACATCCGCCCCAGCCCTGGTCACTCCCCCAACCCCTCAGTGAGTTTCTTATCAGAACAATTGGGGTGCCGTCTGGATCCAGGCCACAGGGAACACAGATTGACCTTGGATGTTTGGTGACAGGAAATGCTATATGGCCTTGGCTGGGTTTTAGAGGCTGAAGCAGAGCTGGATGTGCCCCTGGGGCATTGCGGCCACAGGGCCTTTCGGGGAGGTCACCGTGGAAGGGAGAGGCAGCAGGATATCTTCCCTCCCCCACTATCCTCCCCTGTCCGCCTACATCCACTTACTGAGGCCCCTCTGTCTGCTAGGCAGAGGGTGGACACTATTTGTATTAATAAAATTCCGTTTTGGCCAATGTGTATCCCTGCCTCAGTCAAAAGCTGGTTTGAGGCTGGGAGTGACAAGATCTGGCTGTCACGAGAGAGGGCCAAGGCAGTGACATTTCACAATTCACCCCTACCCCAAGTCCTCAGTGCTGGGGTTGTGCCCCTAGCCTGTGGAATATAGGCATAGGGGAGAGGGGCCCTCCTGATGAGGAGGGGGACACAGCCCCCATGAAGGTTCTTGATGTTTCAGATGTCATTTCTGCTGACATGGATGCAAAGAGCAGAGGAGCCAACAGCCAGCCAGGGTCAGGAGATGCAGGCCCACCTGCAGGTCAGAGCCCAGCTCAGCACCCACTCAGTGCAGCAGACACTGGGAGGTACCCCTCACCCAGAACTGGGGGAGCTGCTAGATGGGGTTCCAGAGCCCCCATATGGCCCAATAAGCAGAGGACACCCACTTCCTGCAAGACCCTCTCCCAGAGGCCCCATTTGCTTTGAGAAAACACCCCTCCTGCCACCTCCTGGGCCTGACCCTGGCTCAACAGCAACAGGGCTCTCTGGGGAGGGTTTTCACAAAGACCCATCCGGCCCCTGGGTCGCTGCAGGAAATCCTGGAGGCCAGCATTACAATGCACTGCTTCCGGCTACCAAGGGGTCCCCGGGCACAGGAAAGAGGTGCCGGTAGCTCTGGTGCTTTCCAAAAGGACTGGGCCAGATGGCCCCCAGGAATGCCCTGGGCCCTGAGCAGGGGCATAGAAAAGCTGCCATGGGTGAGGGTGATGGGCATTTAGGCCCGTTAGGGACAGCCTTTCTAACCATCCTCTTTCTCATGTTTCTCCTCTGCTCACACACCGTCTGTGGCTCCCCATGCCTAAGGAATCAAGTCTAGATACCGAAGCTCAGCACTCAAGGCTCTCTCAGGCCTCTCCACAAGTTGCAGCCTTCTTCCCGGCCAGGCCCCTCTCTGACTCCAAACGTTCCAGTCCTGACTGAGGCCTTTGTCTCGGCCATCCCGCCTCCTAGAAGACCATTACCCCTGTCTCTCGCTGTCTCAGCTCCTAGTCGGCCCAGTTTATTTTGTGCTAATCACAATTGATTCTGACAGCTCCTCCAGCTCTAATGTTGATTGACACTTCCTGGGTCCCGAATGCTGCCCTCGCCGTTCCCAAGGGAAGGTGTGCATGTGTGGTCAAGACAGTCACACCCGCCTCAGTCCTGGCCCTGCCTCTGCCATGAGGCTCTGGGGGCCTCTGGTGCCCCACTGATAAAATAAGGATGCTACCTCCCCGAGAGTGGCCCTGTGGCCTGGTACATAAAGCACAGTGCCTGGCGGATCAGAAGGGATCCATGAACGTTAACCATCTTCATTGCGATTGGCAGAATAATGGCTCCAAAGATGCCCATGCCCTAATCCCTGAAACCTGTGAGTCGGTGGCCTCACAGAGCAAAGGGACTTTGCAGATGGTATCAAGTGAGGATCTTAAGATGGGGAGATTGTCCTGGATTATTCAGGGGGCCGAACATCATCGCAAGGGTCCTTGTAAGAGGGACGCAGGAGAGTCAGAGTTCAGAGATGTGATGACAAAGGCAAAGGTCAGAGAGAGAGAAAGATGCGAAGATGCCACATTGCTGGCTTTGAAGATGGAGAAAGAAGCTACAAGACAAGGCATGGAGGTGGCCTCTAGAAAGTCAGAAAGGCACAGAAATAGACTCTTGCAGAGCCTCCAGAAACCGTGTCCTCTAGCGTCCTGCCAACACCCTCATGTTAGGGCTTCTGGCCTCTAGAACTGCAAGATAATAAATCTGGGTGGTTTTAAGCCATGAAATGTGTGACGATTTGTTACAGCAGCTCTAGGAACTAACAGAGTCATATCCTCATTGATGAGCTCATTTCGTCCTCAGAGCCATCCTGTGAAGGAGGCCTATGGATTCTCGTTTTACAGCAGCTCACGTGGTGGGACTCCAAACATGGTGGTCTCAGCCTGCCGCCCACCCCCTGGGTCTCGCTTTGTTCCCGAGCTCTCAGGATCAGGCTATGTATACTTCATTTTGCATCGTCACATCTTGTGTTTTGTCGATAACTTGTCACTTAACCATCCTTGACTTCTTCGCTGGCATATCTCTTTGCTTGCTCGCAAGCGGAGCTGTCAACTTCTTGACGGCAGGGGACATGTCCTTACTGGGTCCACGAAAGTGGCCATGGGGTGGGGAGGAAACCAGGTGCTTCCACAGTCACGTTTAACAGCAGTCCTTAGCCCACTTCCCTTTAAAATTATCTGGGGAGTTAAAAAATAAAAACAGTTTTCCGGGTGGTATCCTGAACCTACCCAATCAGAATTTCTGGGGTTGGGACCCTGGTTAAGGGTATGTTTCAAAACTCCCTAAGAGTATTTCATGTGCCGGCAGAGCTGAGAACACCTATCTTCTGGGGCTGTTGCAAGGCTTAAAAGAAATAACATGCAACTCATAACGGTAGCAAATATTTACTGAGCTCTTATTATAGGCAATGAAGCCCTTCACCTATATTTGCTTATTTCATCCTCACGGCAACTCCATGAGATAGGTACACTCATCACCCACATTTTACACATTTTACAGATGGGTGAGGCACAGAGAGGTCCAGTAACTTGCTCAAGATCACACAGCTAGTAAACAGTGGGGCCAGGGCTTCAACAAAAGCACTTCAGCCCTTCAGTCCATACTCGACCAGAGGCACCCCAGGGTAGGATGTGGTGGTGGGAGATGGAAGATTTTATCATTGATATTGTTTAGAATAAAAGGCAGCCCGGAAATGGACAAGCTGATCCTCAAATTCATATGGAAGAGCAAAGTGGGAGGACTGACATTTTCTTGATTTCAAAAAGCACTGCAAGCCTATAGCCATTAAACTGTGCGGTTCTGGCATGAGGGCAGACATTTAGATCAGTGGAAGAGAAATTGAGAGCCCAGAAATAAACCTTCACATTTACAGTCAACTGAATTCTGACAAGGGGGCCAACATCACTCAGTGGGGTAAAGAATGGCCTTTTCAACAAATGGGGCTGGGACAACTAGATACCCAGATGCAAAAGAATGAAGGTGGATCCTTACCTTCCGCCATATACTTAAACTTAAAGTGGCTCAAAGACCTACATGTAAGAGCTAAAACAATAAAACTCTTTGAAGGAAACATAGGGGGAAATCTTCATAACCTTGGATTGGGCAGTGGTTCTTAGAAATGACACCAACATGGCAACCAAAGGAAAAAATGGGGAAATTGGACTTGATCCAAATTAAAAACTTTTGCACTCCAAAGGAGACCATCAAGAAAGGGAAAAGACAACTCCCAGAATGGGTGAAAATACGTTCAAATCACACACCTAATAAGGGACTTGCCTCCAGAACATATAAAGAATACTTAGAACTCAGCAAGATGACAAATAACCTAATTCAATACACATGGCCAATAAGCACATGAAAAGATGCTCAACGTCATTAGTGAAATGCAAATCAAAACCACAATGAGAGTGGGCCGGCCGAGTGGCTTGTTGGTTAAGAGTTGACTTGGGAGCACGAGCTCTGAACAGCAGGGACACCGGTTCGGATCCCACATGGGCCAGTGACGCTGTGCCCTCTACAGTTAAGATGGTGAACAACAGCTTGACTTGGAGCTGGGCTGCCATGAGCCACTGTGAGTGGCTGTCCAATGGCCAGCAAGCGACTGCCTCACCTGGGAAGAGCACAATGATCACAATACCAACATGGGCCAGTGAAGCGACGTCCTCCACAACTAGACTGAAAAACAAAAGGACAACAACTTGTCCATTCCCCTCCCCCAGGTCCCCAATAAAATCTTAAAAAAAAATACCACAATGAGATACCATTTTACACCCACAAGGATGGCTAGAATCAAAAAGAGTAACAAGGATTGGTGGGGATGTAGAGAAATCAGAACCCTCATACATTGCTGATGGGAATGTACAATGGGACAGCTGCTTTGGGGGACAGTCTGATGGTTCCTCAAAAAGTTAAATATTGAGTTACCATGTGACCCAGCAATTCTGCTTCTAGGTATGTATATATCCAAGAGAATTGAAAACATACATCCACACAAAATCTTGTCCACAAATGTTCATAGCAGCATTATTCACAATATAAGCGACACCACTCAAATGTCCATCAATGGATAAACTGATCAACCAATATGGTCTCTCTCCATACACAGGAATATCACTCAGCCATTAAAAGGAGTGAAGTACAACCTGGATGAACCTTGACGACATTATGCTAAGTGAGAGAAGCCAGTCAGACCACATATACTGTATGATTTCATCCATATGAAATACCCAGAATAGGCAAATCCCTAGAGACAAAACGTAGATGAGTGGTAGCTTAGGGCGAAATGGGGAGCAATTACAGGAATGGGATATGGAGTTTCTTTTCTGGGTGATGAAAATATTCTGTCTGAAATTAGGTAGTGGTGATAGTTGCACAATCTGTGAATATATTAGAAAACACTGACTTGTACATTTTACAGGGGCAAACTGTACGAGTATGGTATGTGCATTATACCTTAGTGACACTGCTACAGATTAAAAGGCAGCCTGACTTTTAGCTGGTTTTATTATTAAGTTTTCTACAGATGATGCGCCTTGTTGCCTGCACTGGTCCCACAGCCACACACTCACTGTGCCACGTGACCTTTGCAGACATACGACGCCTCTGTGCAAGGTCTGCTGTGTAAGAGGTGCTCAGGGAAGGAAAACAGGACCTTCTCTTCCCCATGCGCCCTCCCCAGGCAGAACTGCCGACTCCTGCAGCCTACCTGGGGTTTTAGACACACCCCATCATCCCCATACACGTTCTTTCATTCTGGCGACACTGAGGGGCTGCCCAGACACCTTCCATGGGGACATATTGTCCTGACCACTGGCAGTGCTGTCAGCAGATGGCTCAGCTGTTGCCCCTCCTGGTCGGGCTCTTCCCAGGTGGCCTACACTCAGTGACCCATCGACACTAGTGCATGAAGGCCCAGCCATCCCAGCCACGCTTGGGACAGCTCTGAGGACCAGCCCAGCTCCATAGCTCCCAGGGGACTGGCCAGTGCTGCATGGCAGCTCGATGCCCCCTGCTCAGACTGTTTCTTACCCCCATGGTGCTGATCCCAAGGCACCCCCAACAAATGACCGACTGCGTGTCAGCCCCCTCCTAGAGTCGGCTCCCCAAGGATGCTCCTGGTGTCTAATAAGTGGGGGTCAGGGGTGCTGCTCCGCGCTCTACAGTGCACAGGATGGTCCCCACAAAGAAGCTTCCGGCCCCAAATGTCCAAAGCCTTGACATAGAACACTGGTTTTTAAACACGCGTGTGTGTGTGTGTGTGTGTGTGTGTGTGTAATTGCTTAGGGACCGTGTTAAAATAGACTTCCAGGACTGTGGGAATCCCTCCAAGACAAACAACCCTGCTTCTTCAATAAATACATAGTAATGAAACAGAGAGAGAGGGAGAAGGAGAGACAGACAGGGAGAGGGAGAGGGAGACAGGGGCAAAAACAGACAGACAGACTGAGACAGACAACAGAGTGAGAGATGGGGTGCAGGGAGGAGGAGAAAGACGGAGAGAGATGGGGAAAGAGACCGGCAGAGAAAGAGAAAGGAGGAGAAGCCTATAGATTAAAGAGACTATATATTAAACTTATATATTAAATTAACCCTTCACGGTGGAGATTTTCTTTGAATCCTGATTCAAACAAGCCCTGGGGTTGGGAGTGTGTGTGTGTGTGTGTGTGTGTGTGTGTGTGTGTGTGTGTGTGTGTGACAGAGTTAAGACTGGAAATAAATGGTGCACTTCTTTGTTCCCCAAACGGAGATCCTGTGTAGAACTTGCTTTCCCGGGAAAGGGTCCACAGCGGATGACAGGCTGATGCTGAGCGCAATGGGCTCAGTAACGCTGATGTTATAGTTATGGGGTGACAACAATGAGCCCTATAACTATCCGTGGGCCTAAATCCCACAATCTGTGTTGCTCCTTCCTTTTCGTCTGCTTCTCCAGAACTTGCTTTTTGTGACCCAGGGGCCATGTCACTGACCCACCTCAACTGCTGCTCTGAAAGCTGCTCATAGCAATGGATTTAATTGTTTTCAATATTTTAGAGGTGTTTTTTTTTTTAATCTATGTTATTCGTGCAATAGCTTTCATGGTCAAAGGTATTATACATCTTCCTCTTTTATTAAAAAAAAAAATCGTGTTCCTCGTACATGCCAAACAGAAAAAGGCACTAATGCACGGATCTCAGCGACACTCCTTCTAGAGGTCAGAAGTAGGACCAGGTGAGTCAGAGGCAGGCAGGCTGGCTCCAGGCCACTATAAAATACCAACTGCAGGAGGAGAAATTTAGCAACCAGAGCTCCAGACATCTAAGATGGAAATGAAGCCAAATCTCACCCCTCTCAGCCCTAGCTGTCTGTCACACAGCCAGACAGGGGCAGCGCTAGGACCTGAACTCAGGTCTTTCTAACTCTGGGGCCTGAGCTGCATAGCACCACCTGCCACCTTCCAGATGAGAACACCTGGTGGTTAAATCTTCTCTGGGGGAGCTCAGGGAGAAGCCATCAAATTAGAACTGCCCCTTCTGGACATGTCTCCCCCACACCAATGCCACCAGCAGTCACAGGGATCTCTTGAAACCATCAATCCGACAATGACACTGAGTTTGAAACTCTCCAGTGGCCCCTAGGGTCCACAGAACAAAGTCCTCCACCTTCTGTGACCTCAGGCTGGTC